GAGTTACAAAGGAGTAAAGCTGAATCCATTCGAGGTACTTATCACAGGATGGAGGTGTTTTGTTTGGTTTTTAAAGCCATTGCAATATATGTTTGTTTTTTGAGGCTGTGAACGTATACAGAAAGAACAGGAGAGCAATGTGGGCTTTTGCCACTTGACAACATATACTCAGTGTAAACCAAACCTTTTTTAACCTCTCTCTCATACAAAACAGAAAAAAGGAAAAAAAAATAAACACACAAACTTTCACAACATGACAGTTTAGTTTGCAAACTCAATATAACTATACACATATAATACCGGTGTGGCTCTGTTTCTTTAAGTTAAAAAGGATACAAAGGCAGGCTCAAGTAAAAACAAACCACCCCTCCCACCCCCCCAATCCCCCCATTCACACATTTTCGTCAACCAAACCGCTCACGAACCAGCATCATCAGTTTCTTTTTGCCTTTGTAGATTTGTTTTAGGTTGTCAATAAACTGTGTAAACTGGATGTGTCCATCATGAGCCATTAAGAAGGTCTCTCGGGCCTTGCTGAGGAACTCTATAAACTCACTATAGTGTCGTGGGCTGATGTGAGTGAGACGCGAATGAGTTGTATTAATGTAGGCTCCGATTGTGGCATCCAAGAGTTGCCGCAAAGGGGCTTTGTCCAGTGACATGAGCTTACCAGAGTTCCTCCTTCCATGAAGTCCCACCATGCCAGGAGTGGTCAAAGTACACCTACGCAAAATGTCTGACAGTACTGTTGCACATTTGACACTTTTGACCACCAGAGGTATTATAGCTGCTAGCTCATTTTTCCCAAGGGAGTGGCTGAGCGCACATGCCCACAGAACGTCATTAATGGCAGGGTGCGTGTCCTGATTGTAACTCAGGTTGAGATGCGTCATGGCCAAAGTGGCCAGCTTGTAGGCCCGCATGGGATAACCACGGTGCTCCATGTATCGTGCTATAGTAAAAAGCTGTGAGTAGCTCATGCCGGTTGTAGCAGCATCTAGAACGATTTGGTAAGCGGTCTCAAAAGCTATGTGATCCTTTTCACATAAGGTCAGTGCAGAGAGGGCACAGTTTTGAGGATCCTTCATGGCACACTGTAGGGCAAGCGTCCTAGCGCTGCCGGCCAGCTTCTCCTGCTGATGGCAGTCCAGATGCAGACGGACGATGGTGCTGTTGGACATCACTGTTGTAGCAACAATACTAGTGGCTTCTGTTGGAGTGAAAAGTGTAAACCAGTTTTGCATGATACTATCCAGTGCATAAACACCTGGAGAAAGAAAGAAAGGATCAGCCACAACTGATAAAACCTAGCAGATACAGATGTTCAGCAAGAGATTACATTTGCCGAAGTCTAAAAGGTTGTCAGTACATTCAAGGGGATGCACTTCAGCAAGAAGGACTAAACCAGATAGCATGGCTGGAAAAGGACATTAAAATGAAGGCCACTGTGCAAACTCTTTAGCAATCACCGAAATGCAGAGAATAACAAAAAAAAGCCCGCAAGATAAGCTTTAATCTCCCAGTGTGACAACTGAGCTGTTTTACTTGTTATTTAAGACAATTTGGATAACAAGTTCTGGCTCATTTGGTCTCATCACATCACTCAAAAGCAGCCCTCACACTGAACACTTTTAAAAAAGGCAATTTTAACTTCTTTTCTCCCTGTGCATCTCAAGGCACAGTAGTGCATGCACAAAAGAATATACAGTATGCTAAATGGCTTTCTTAATAGAACACCATGGCACACCTTAACAGAACACACTACGCACACCTTAAAAAAAAAAAAAAATCCTAACCCCCACCTCCTCCCAACAGGCTTTTCAGATACATCTTGTATCAAATTCATAAGCGCCTGAACATCAAGATCCTTATTAAAGAAATACTCTGAGCAATATGAATATGGGTATTATCTGAAATAGATATTTTCCTTAGTGTCACTTTATTCCTGGCATGTGTGTGTTTGTGTGTGTGTGCTGGGCAGGGGGAGGAAGGGGGAAACAGTGACTAATGGGTTCCATAAATTGAACCTTATAGCCAACTAGAGTGCCTTATTATTGCTAGAGGTAGTTTACACACATCTGTGAGCCCACCTAAACCACACCCAGAGGTCCTCATTTTCTCTGTAGGACTCTGATGCTTCCTGTGCACCCCTTCACTCATCTACAACAATTCAGCATAGCCAGAGAATACCAGATCTTCATTTAAATAAACAGATTCCTTGCTTTACCATCTTGATTAAGTCTCAAGAGTACTTTGCATGACATTATAGGTTCTTTATGTGATACTTCTATTAGAATATGTAAACTAATTTAAAGCAGTATTAAACCCAGCATTTTATTTGCCGATATGCAACCACACAAAATAACACCCAGGCCCTAATATCTGTGAGATAGTGTCAGCAATAATTATCTTAGCAAAGATATAAAAGCAATAAAACAAGAGCATTGAATGAAAATTTGCAGACACAAACCACTTTCTAGCTGAGGGCATACAAAAGCAAGCTGTATTTTTGCATGCTACTGACAACATTAATTTCCCAGTTAAGCATAAAGCAAACAATAAACTAATCCAGAGAATAAGCAGCAGCAATCCTCTGAAATTCTGAAACTCAAGCAGCATCTATGCAATACAATCCAACTCAGATGTATGAAAAAGGAATAAATACAGCAGGGAAACATGCTTTCCAGAAATACCTTCAGTGACAATTAAAACTGCTCCCTTATTGTAAGTACTTATATTGTCCCCACTACCACAGCTGCTGATTATATATTTTTTTTTTTTTTACAGCTACACATTAATGCACTCCACTTTCAGATTCTGTATCCTCATCTTGCAGATGGTAAACTGGAATACAGAAGCTAAGGGACACCTCATCAAGACACAGAGGAAATCTATGGCAAAGACCAGAAATGAACAGAACATCCTGCTGAGTGCACTATTCTCCCGCTGCTGTCCTCTTAGCATAAGACTGGTTCTGTTCCCACCTTATTTTCACCTTACCTGGTTAACGACGAGTGCACTGGTATTTGGTTTGCTTTACAGTGCAGAGGACAGGCCTGACAAGGTCACAGCCACATAACAAAGAAGCATTACACTCTAAGCTTGGATTTACCCAGGGGCTTAAAAAAAAAAAACAAACCCAAACCTAATAATGAGAACCCCTTCAGGACATCCTGTCTGCCACACAGCAGGAGGCATCCTCAGCATTCCATTCACCTGTTTTCTGGTTCCTCTTCCCACAGCTGACCAGCTCTCTCACCTGCCTTTCAGAGCCCCGCTTGGCCTTTCAGAGCAAGCAAAGTTGTAGCACAGTGCAACAGCCCATAACAACGAGCCTTTTCTCTACTGCAGCCTCAAACCCAAACCCATCATGGAGGCAACAAGGGGAAATCTGGGGCATTTCCCAAAGGTTTTGCACATGCCCGCCTTACAGGGGAATGAAGTCACACTGCATTGCTCAACTATTGTCTCACTTGGTCTGTGCCTAAAAACAACCACTCATCATTGCCATAATGTATTCTCACCAAAGGAGTTTTATAGATGAATAGAAAGTGGGAGACATTTGCAGAACGTGGGTGTTGACAAGCAAGATCAAGCCCTCTAAGATTAGCTGACAAGAGAAGCATCTCAGAACATACCTACTTCTGTTGCACATGTTACCAACCACCTCACCATTTCCCGCCGTCGCCAATTCAGTGTTGATAGCGTCATCCGCATCACCTGTTAAAACAACACAAACAAAATACACAATTAATCCTATTGCAAACCAAGGCAATATACCAATGATTAGGGATTTTAAGTTACTCAAATACACTAAGGTTCAAAATGGCAGCCTCTTGCCCTCTCCACTCTGCTACCTCTTTTTTAGCTGATACGTCAAAGGATTTGAAAAATATTGCTCAGCTACCTTAGAATAGCATACAGAGAGTAATTTCAACTGCAGATACTTCAAGGCTAGAGAAGAGACCATCTTATCCGTGGGGAAGAAAAAAAAAACACCCCACAACTCCCCTAACAACAAAAAAGCCCGATGAATTACCAACTATTCAAATTAAATTATATCATGTCTCCTCCCTCTATGCACAGTAGTCTTTAAAGTGGAAATGTGTCAACACTTGTTGGGCAAACTAACCCCTTTAATCTTTCCCTCATCTGCATTTCTTTTCATTGACTTCAACAACACAGACATGAGTTAGTGTACTGAGATTTCACTGGCTGCTTATTCTGCAAAGATATATATACAATTCCAGATATACCCAGGTATTATTAAAAAGTCCACAGCAATTATTTCTCTCTCTGAACAAGGAGTCCCTGCAAAGAAGTTCCATTGTAAAATGATCAGAATCCTAGAAAAAGGACTTTAAGCTTTGATTATAGTGCCCATATTTTAGATCACTTGTGGTTATTGCCTATGCTGTTTCTCAAAACACAGGCAAATATGTTTATTCAGTAAAACAAACAGTGCAGGGAAATTGCATGTAAAGTTTGCTTCAGCTACCTGGACACACCCCACAGATATCTAGATGAAGAAAGCAAGTAGTTTTCTACTACTTGATCATACATAGTGATCATGTGATCATACATAGTGATCATACATAGTGATCATACTACGGTATTACTATTTGTAGCAATGAAATAAAGAGCATAATAGGTCAATCAGAGCTCTCAGCGATGATCTTTACATATTAAACTCAACAAATGCACTCACAAAACAGGTTGGAGTCAGCAGCATTTGTAAGAGGGTTCTCAACCGATATCCCCTCCCAATCCTAAGGTGACTTCAAAGTGGCATGTAGCCCTCTGTCATGTTTGTTACTCCTGCCACCTCCTTTAGTCCTATGCTGTACATACGATAATTAAGAAGGTGGAAAGACTGCTGAGGAGCACAAATGCACAGATCGTCTTTAAGAAGTCTAGTTATAAGAAACCATGACTGGTTCCAAGCTGGCCTCCAAACATTCCCACCTTGAGACCCTGGTGACTGTACATCACCCGAAGTTACAGGATAACGTCAGCTTTGTTGGCCTCAGACATTGTGGTATCATTTTAACTAAATAGTAATCTAAGTGCTAGATTGGAGAATAGAATTTTGAAAGAAAGCAAACTGATCTGTAAGGAGCAGCCCAATGCATTTCAAAATATGGCTAAGGTAAATCATGGAACTAGCCTTTGCCTGAAGTCTTTCTGGAAGAAAAACAGGCAGCCCCAAGTCAAAATGCACTGGAGGGCAATTGTCTGTCCCATTTTGTCCATCAAAGGGAAGGAGTCTAGGTGACTTCCTGTATTGATGCACACACAAATTGGACGCTAACACTCTTCCAATATCCACGATGAATTTTCAGCTTCCCCCAAACAGAGTGAATCCAAGAGAAAATACAGGGTTATGGACCAAATTCTGCTACTGGTGAGGGAGGAAATAAGGTTAAAAAAAAAAAAAAAAAGAAAACCGAAACAGTGTGAATGATGACTTCTCTGAAAGTCTTCTTTGATGACTTCCCTCACTGTGGTGCTCTGTAAAAGGATCAGCAGGCAGAAGAGCCTCCAGCACATGCAGTAGGCATAATAGTACTTCCAGTGTAGACAGTCCTAACTTGAGAGCAAAAAACAATACCATATCTAGTTTCTTGACGAACTATTCTGGAATTAGGTTCCTTTTATTTGATTAAACTGACAAGATGAGAACAGCAAGAGAGGCACCCTTTATTGACGATAAAAAACCCAAGGATTTCAAATAAAGCATGTATTGATGTCCTGACCAAGGAGGAGATGAAGTTAATTCATACTGTAGCACACGTAGATAAAGAACTATTTCAATTCTGCTCAATACATTCTTGAGCTACCTCTTCCTAAAAGGAAGTTCCACATCTGTCCAAGATCTACCCAAGATCTGTGTTATCAACTGCAGAGAGCTTCTCAACAAGTCAGGAAGTGTGAAAATGACAAGACACCCCTGGGAATTACATAGCTTATCTGAAAGCCAAGCTCTCTTCCACACAGAATAACCCTGACTTTGTCTTGATAGATCTTTATAAGAATTTCTTATAGAGTAACAGAAGTTCTCACCACCCGTAAGAGATACAAGAAATGGCCAACCAACTATTTGCTCCCAGACCAATGCAAAACCTCTTCATCATGCACATTGGAAGGAGGTTTATTTATTTATTCATTCATAGGTTTTGGGGGAAAGGACACCACTTGCCAAATACACATGGAGTGATCACCTGCACTAACTCGCTCAGCAGTTCTGCCAGCAGTACCTGTTTGCATGTGTGCAGTAATACTTACTTGCACTCATGTAGCATACAACAGGCAAACAGAGGAATAGAAGCCCCTCCTCTACCTGCAGATCTTACAGCATCTGTGACGGTTCTGAAGGACAGAATACACCTGAGATGCTCCATGCCCATTTGGCCATGCTGATGACCTCTTTCCACAGCCACTTTAAAAGCCCTCCCTCTGCTGAGTCACATAACACATGCTGCCATTGGAAACAGGGAGAAAGAACCCAGGAGTCTATACACTACTCCCAAATCTAGAACAGTATAAGAGGCTTTTCTGCCACAGAGATCCCAGTGAGAGAATTGTGAAATTGTTGGTGTCATCTCCTCAGCCCAACATGTCATTGCTGTAGCTGAGGCAGAACAATACACCTGCGAGGACACTGCTGTTTAGTTTACCATGTGAGGGGAGAAGGAGTTTTCTAAGGCACATGTCATAAATAGTCAGATACCAGATAGTGAATGCAGACAATCTAATTGCCATTAAGTCAGGGGGGCAGGGAAGGAGGAAGCATCTGTAGACCACTAGAGACAGCGCTGACACTAAGGTTTTTGCAGGAAAAGCGTTAGTATAGAAACCTACACAGCTGTGAGTTACTACCAAAAAACTGCTATGCATCTTCCTTCTGGAAAGCAAACTACCTTTAAGATTCTTAAAACACCTTTGTAAGCTTGGGACAGAACAGTGGACAAGTTCTACACCAGTTTGTTCTGAACCCTACAACTGAGGAGAAAGTATGGGTTCATGGTATTTCTTTCACTAGATCTCACTGAAGACGTTCTGATGACACCATCAACCACAAAGGGGTATCCATGAATACAGTGATATCCAAAGTGTGCTACTACCACTGAATGATACTTTATGAATGCTTGAGGTGACACACAGGTCTATCATAAGGATCTTTCTCTCTCTCAAGTAAGCAAACATTTGAGGCAGAAAGATGTGAAAAAAGAAGCAGATTTCCACAGCAACCTTTGGAATATGAAAGGCTAACAAAGTATACAGAATTTCAGCTTTCTGATTAAAGACTTTAAGCTTCTAAACATCTAGAATAAGCAAATAGTACCCTTCTTTGGCATGAGAAGTAACTGGGATAATATCCTTTCCCCAGAAGTCTTTGGAGCTTTGTCTATTGAAGCAAAGTAAAAATGATTTTCTGATATTTGCATGTTTTTTTTTAAGAAATCTCTGAAGAGGGATGAAGAGATTTATTTTTGTTGAAAGGAACTGTGTAAACTCCAAGATTCATCAGTGTCAGACAGTATTACTACAGATACCAAAAACTTAGCTGTCTCCTTTTAGCTTGCAAAATCTCTCCTAAAAGCCTGAAAACCTTTCTGAGGTTCTTCTACACCTCAAGCTGAGTTTGATGCATCTGGCCATCCCACAGCTGGTAAAGTACAGGATTTTGATGAAGGAAGCGAGAGTGCTGCTGTTAGCACAGTCTGCCTTAGAAACAGGTCATTATGGTTGACCTTGGCTTTCTCTAGTGATTCAACAAGCATCTACCAAATCTCATTTAAGGGAAAGGAAGGGAAGAAATGGTAAGAAACCCCGCAAGGCCGTGCAGAAAATGCAGTGCATTTCTGGCAAGCAGAATAATTTTGCTTTCTTGCCAGTCCCACACATACTCCTGAACCCATTGCACTTGTCCTCTCTCACCCCTGCACAGAGGAGTGCCCTGCAGCCAGCCGCTCCCAGCTCTCTCTTCCACCCAAACAGCATAAAGGGGCTGAACAGACCCTTAGTCTGTGTTTACTGGTTCATTAAGCTTTATATCAGAAAACAGAACTTAAAAACTTCAGACAGAGCCTGAAGAGGGCATGGTCCACAGTGCTTAGAAGCTATATCCATTGACGCTGGGTCAAATTCCTTTCTTCTACTGTAGTAATAATGAACGAGGGAGATACCTGAAGGCCCAACTCCAGAGAAACTTTCAGAAGAGTGATGTCTGGCAAGCTGTCCATGAGTGTTGCTATTTTAAATGCATCCTGGGCAAGTTTGAAGATGTGTGACGAGGAGTGGATATTTTTCTGGATGGATTCTAACACTGTTTCCAGCCTCCGAACATCACCTGCAAGGTGCAAAGAGAATCACCAAAATGGAACAAGCTCCTAAAACATCCAGAGACGTATTATAAATGAGCCTGCCATTGCTATGCAATAGTATGTTGTTTCAATTATACTCACTTTGTTTTTAGAAACCTTCCATAATTAAATCATGTACGAATGAAAGACATAAGACAGCACAAACTCTTCTAGTGCCTGATGGTGTTAGTGCAATGCATCACCAAAAGTCATCCTGATTAGTGAATTTTAGAAGTGATTTGTCCACTCCTGGGTCGCACAGTCTATGCCGTGTGTCAGAAGAACAAAAAGCTGTCTCATAAGCCTCAAATCAAGTTCATCTGTCTACCTAGCTAGCTTAACTACTTTGCTAGAAAACTAAGTGACAGGTTTAAGCCAGTTCAGTTTGTTGTACTCATTTCAAGCTCCTGTCAGACTGCAATTTGGATTCCTGAACACAAGTTTTATAATCTGTTTACTCCATGCAATATTAAAAGCATACATTTAGTTCAGTACATAACTGACAGCAACGTACCTTTGGCTGCTGTTAGCATGGTTGATGCCAGCTCACACTGCTGGGATTCGATGTGACTTAGGGTGAACCAGCGGGGATACCGGTTTGGAACAACTGATGCAATGTGGTGTGGGCGGGACATGTCTCCCGAAGGAGCTGTAGATTCCAATACTAGCAACCTGAAATAAGGAAGAAGTCCTCATTCATTAAATCATTATTACATTAGGTTACTCATGAGCAAAACTAAAGCTGTAAGAACACTTGACCTTGTTTATGAAATGTGCCTTTTTGGTTATAAAAAAAAAAGATGGGAAAACCACTTCTCTTCTTGGGGAATCTTAAAAGTCCATTTGCCAAACCTGCCTACATCAGTGGGCATCTGCAGGAATTCACAGGACACTTAAGCCACCCATTAGTAAAGACAGCAGAGACTTTCTGCATCATGCATACAGCTGAAGCTTTTCTCCCTGCCTTGTTTCAGTCTTTGAACCACAGCCCTCTGGAAGGAAAGGGGAGTAGTTCTCCACTGTACTGAGGACATGTAAATTTTTTTCAGTATTTGGAACATACTTTCTTCACTTAAAAATGCTCAAAGTAAGGGAGAGGGATATTCAACAAGTCATTCAGATTTTGACCTTGCAATAAATTCAGATATGAATTTATGCCCAAAGAGGACATTTTACTGTTCAACTATGACTACTTTTTAAAGTCCTTAAACTTTAGTCTGCCTACTTCATAAAATGTACCATAATCTGATGTTAGGGTCCCAAACAGCAGTGACAGAGGAACTTCCCTTTAAAGTTACTTTTCAGACTCCATTTTCTAATCCTGAAGCAAAAATTTCTTTGAGCATGTGTCAATCCACCAAGGAGAATTCTTATTTAGAAAATTGAAATTAATGTGTTTATTGTTGACTACTACAATACAAGTGACAGCCCACAACAAAGACTCAACTGATGGTCCTTATAATACAATAGATACAACCAGTACACTAGATACTATATAAATGCCAGTGTCAGAAGTAGCAGTGAACAAAAATATGCATTTTTATTCAATACAAATAAGCATAGTTTCAGGACATGAACAGTTAACAAGACATCGAGTGATAGTAATAAGACAATGTCCAGAAGAAAAGCCTTTCCAGTGCATCAGGGTTAACATCCGAGTTCTGTTTCTACCAGCTTTCATATGCAAGTGATTTTCTAGCAGGAAGTAATCATTTGTCAATAAAATTGCAACTCCTGAATACTGAAAATCCAATGCATTGTGATTTTCTGTGATAGAATATTTCTTACGGAATGAGCTCATTTAAACGTAAGTTACAATTTCTTGCACTTAAATAAATACCTAAGTTCTTTAAGTAACTGGAGTGCATGTCTTTTTTTCACAGTAAGACAGTTTTAAGTTCCATCAGTTTTCTGTATGTTCCTGAAGCATAAGAAAGTATCCTTAAGAATTCCCTGAGAAAGGTAATTCTGAATATACAGGAGAGTATCTAGCAGGCACATATAAATAGAACACACCATGTAAATAACTATCAGCACGTTATACTAACATTTTCAGACACATGTATGTGCATGCTAATATGAAAAAAAAAAGACTTCCCTTTTGACTTGTATCAAGAGTCAAATCTCTTCCCTAGTACCACTGAGACACTTCATTATATAGCTTTATATAGATAAAAATAAAATACATATAAACTCTTCAGCTGATTTTTTCCAAGCATAGACAGAGGGTGGGGGGAGAGATGCCCTATTAGACGGTTTCAATAAACAGTAAAAATCCCAACTACCTAATGCAAAAAAGGATTATTAGGTTATGAGTAAACAGACAAAGAGCATGAAAGAAAGAGGCTGTTTTGGGGAAATCTTTTGTCACTTCTGATTTCATTGCCAGCTTCTATGTTCTTTTGCTGTGAAAAGAAATGCTGTTGTGAATTGGTGGCTTTCATGCCATTTTGGCAAGATTAGGGAACATCAGAACGAGCACAAGCCGATTTAGCATTCTTCACTCCCCCCACCCCCCTGCTTTCAAACATCAATTATTTAGCCAGGTTTTAGCAAAGCTACCTTGTGATTAAACATCACCATTAAAGTCTGGCACCCAAAGCCTGGGTGAAATTCAGGCTGAACAAGGGATCAGCCAAACTAAGCCAAACATTCAAGTTCAGATTCCAAGTGAGCAGTCACCTAGGTCACTGCAGATCCACATTCTCCAAGGCTCTGTTCCATATGTTTCTGTGCTGCAAGCAGAGAACTGTAGACGGAAGCAACCATCAAGGATAGCACAACTCTGTCCTTGCAGACCTGAGGTGTATGCATGAAAACCTTTATGGTCTCAGCTTCCATTGATTTCATACTGAGTGTTCCACACACTAAAATAGGATTCAAACAAATGAAACAGCAACAGATGATTTTGAATACAGGGAGGTAAAATACTCCAGAGCTGCCATCATGGGTCATTGACCTGTGTAGACTTGTGTGTAGACTGACACTAAACACTATGTCTGGAGAGCAACTAGCTGCAGTCTTGGGAAGTTAACTGCTTTAATAAATATTGAAGTGAAGAAAGAAATATGCTCCACTTCTAAAAGCATGAGCAACCGCACAGACTTCTATGCAGCACCTTTACTTAGTTCCACATGAGATTTTCATCCTTGCCACAGCCATTTCGTCCCTGCCATGGAAGAAAAGATGCTCAAGTTTTCCTCTTCTGATCCATTCAACCTCAAAACCATGAGACAGACATTCAGTCTTCATGTTTGCTTTTTTCTTCCCCCATCAAGGCAGTATTAAGTTACTTTTCAATTTGGTTTGTATTAGGAATCCTTTATACACTGAACTATCGCTTTGGTGCAAATGCAAAGAGTAACCAACCTTCTTCAGAATTTGAGCAGTGCTGAGGAATGCAGACAGACATGGAATAGAAAGTGTCTAAATCTGCCATCACCACAGTTCAAGACAGCAGTCCACGCTTCTGAAGAGCGACAAATATGAAAATACAGAAAGACTGATTATTGTCTAGGGGTGAACTCTAATCTGCCTTATAAAGTGATGACAAAATGGCTATGGAGAACAGCCCTGATTACGCTGAATGTCTCCTGTGATTTTACCAGATGGAAGCAAACAGACAACTCTTTCTTATACTGGTCTGTTTGAAAAGTAACTTCTTTGGCTGAGATGACAGCTTCATACCAAAAGATGGCTGGAGCTACCCATGACTAACTGGAGATTTCATCATTTGGATCTTTCAGTGTCTTGCTTGTTTTTCCAGTTGAGAAAGGAAACTTCCAGAAAAAAAATTCAGGTACGACTGGCTTCTGGGGAAAGCCCAAATCCTTGTTCAAAAGGAATGGCATTCTGCGTCACGTTCACTGAAGCGTTCAGTGCACTGTGCAAAGCTGCTCATGGATGTCTATTCCAGCCTTTCAGCACGGTTTCAGTAGTTTAGTTTAAGGAGGAAAACTCCACACAAACAATCTCTGAGAAACACTTTAAGGTAGTAACTGAAAATGAATACAAGGACACAAGTCTAGTTTATAAAATTGACGTTTTTTTCTAACAACAAAAAAAAAAAACCAAAACAAACCAACAAAAAACCCACCCACATCTCATACTACCTTGCTGATTTGATATGACCAGGGTTATTGATGCACTTAACATGTGATAAGAGTGGTGTACCTCGATGGCCCAGACAGCCTTCTGATCATATGTTTGAATGTTCTCAATAGTTCATCAGTAATGCACTTTTGTCTTCTCAATCTATTTCCTAAAATGCTAATCATAAGCAGCAAGTATGCAAGGTCACTCTTCATATTTCTTAGACTCTTTCCTTAACATGCATTACTAGACATTCTTGGAGGCAAAAAAAACAGGCTAAGCAGACCTTTGGCCTGGCCTGATAGTAGCTATGTTTTGTTCTTATGCATGCCCTCCCGTTTAGTCCTTTGAACAGAATTATTTTCTCCCCATTTCGTATTTTGGAGAAACTAGCTCCAGAATACACACCTCCAAACCACTAGGACACAACCTGTCTGATGACGCTAAATACTACTTATGTGGATAGTGTGTCCTTCAATCACTGTGCAATCATTCTGATAATAATGACAGGAAAAGCCAACACTTTGTGTTTTTTTTTTAATAAAAGAAATCTGTGACTTGATTGCTCTTAGTATTCAGTTGTGGCTATTCTTTGTCAACCATCAACTACAAGGTTCTTGACAGCAACCAGACAATCCAGATGGGACCAGTTTCTTCCCTGCATTGTATGTGGACAACAAATTTATCGCTGATCATTTAGGCCCTTAAATTCCTTCAGAAGGCTTTTCTTAGCCACCATTACCAATCTGAGCTGCACTGAGATAAAGCCAGCACACACTGAGCACTCCCTGAGAAACATCTTTTTCCTGATTACTGAAGACAAATAGGATGCAAGTCAGTCATTTTGTTGTCACATGACATACTCCATTGAAATCCCAACATTCATGCAGAAATGGGCAAGACAGCTTCATTATGAAGCACAAGAAAAATGTACTGGCTCAGACCACACCATATGGTTTCAAATCTATCACTGAGAGTTAATTTATAAAGCAGGGAAGTGGAACAAATAGTTATACCGAACAGGCTAAGCAGCAGATGATCCTGAGCCTGCTGGTGAGATACCTCTTTCTTCATTTCATCACCAATACCATCACACACACAACCACATGGGTGAGAGAACGCACATGCTAAAGCTGTCATTGTTTAACACAAAATCACGTGCCCCATGAGTGGGATTCTAGAAGGATTTGTAACAGAGAACGCTGTTTTACAGTTGTAGATAAACACTAATTGTACATTTACAAATTATTATACTGTACTTACTACAGACACCCATTGCTTTTAGAGGTGACAAAACTAAAATAATTTCTCCTTAAAGGCAGAATGCTTCTTTTAGGAAAAAAAAAAAACAAAACCAAAAAGACTCTGTCTTGATTACCAAGCTTCTTTCCCTTTTCCCAACCGCTACTTGTGCTCTTGCTAGATGACTCATGAATACATACCGCATGGCTCTCAGTGCAGTTTTGTATGCCAATTCAGCATCATGAGGTAGGAGAGAGGTGAAGAGATACTTGGCAAATGTGTGCATTGGAACGCTCTCTCGATGGATAACTTCGCCTAAGCCACTATATGGTCCAGCTGCCGGAAAGAGAAAGAGAATGTCAGTCTTTACATACTGCTAAAATGCAACTTCTGGACCTTTGAAAACATTCACTATACCTTCAGTTAGAATTGGTATTCAGTGACAGAGTTTGCTGTACAAAAGGTAAAGTTATATTGCTATTTTCTGTGAAATGTTACACATATATCACATATATACAGTGTATTACAAGTATATTAAATACCATATATTCTTTGAGACAACAAGACAGATTGCAAATAGTATAGTACCAAGCACTCTACCAGTGCACATACAAATGACAGAATGGTTCCAGTGCTGCATGGGGCTCATTCAGCAAGCCTATGGTATGCAAAAGTAGAAAGTGATAATCCTAGCTTTGCCTCCATGTAGTTACATTGTGCACATGAATGCCTATGCACCCTGCGGTTGCGTGACTGCTTTATCACAAATCCACCAGAAAACAAACAAACAAACAACAAAACAAAACCAAGAGTGGTTACAGTGGAAAAATGTGTATCTTCAATTGAAGTTACATGACCAACCACCACAGTATCACCTGATCCCTATTAATGTCTCACCTGATATTAGGCATTTAAATAATCCTTTGGTCTGGACTTGGTCTCCAGAGAAGACTAGGTCAGATCTTGCACCAAAGCTGGTTTTGTGAGACCATTATAGCCACATGATCTTAAAAATTGTATTTGTTGTGGGAAAACTATCCCCATTGTTGGGGCAATGGATTTTGCTCACACTCAGTGCAGCCAGTGTAGTATTTCAACTTCATAACAGCAGCGTCAGGATTGACAACAACAAAAAAAGTAAAATGCACCTATTTCCTTGCTGAGTTCTGAATGTTGATGGTGCATATGAATCCCATTTTTACATTTTTCCTGCAACCTTAAGACTGTTATTCCTGTTAATAGGAAAACTGTGTCAAACAGGTTTTGACTTCAGTGACTAGAGGTTCAGGCATTAAATGTTGCAAGACACAGAATCCTACATTAAGCATTACTGGACTATTATTGCACAGATAGCAGCCAGCAGTCCTAGAAGTCACTACTACTTCTACTAGAGATTCCAGCCCACCACACTTGGATGGATGGATAAATGACCATGAGAGTGCACTCCTTCACTGCAGAGTCACATCTATCATTTAAACTGCTTCCAGCAGCGGTTCAAACTAACATGGCTGACTCTACACTGAAGCAGACGAGGAGAGCAGACCACGAGAAAGAGCCAAGCTGTTTCAGCAATGTTTTTCTGACTGGTGCCTTAGCACAACACGCAAAGATAAAAATCACTAGTCATGAAAAAATTCTGAGCTCCATAGGTGGGCATTTCTGAAGACTGGGTCTGATTACAAAGGAAACGTCAGTGAAGATTTAGTAGGTGACAGTGTGTCTCAATCATTTAAAATGAAGTTGAAAGCCATTCAAAACTAGCTGGCATTGCTTCAATGAAAAAAGCATTTCATGTATGTTTGCCAGTTGGTGGTCCAGTCAGAAACTCAGTTAGGACACGAAGAATACATGACAAAGCATTTATATGAAAATATATTCTGCCATTAACTTAGCAGTCAAGCAAAAAATTAGAACAGTTCTTGCAAAAGAGTCTTACGTTCTGCTTTCCCACGCACTCAAATGGTAGCTACATACAGCATGCATTAATCTGCATTAACAGCATAGAAATCAGCTTAATATTGGATTAAGCTTTCTTTATTGTATCTACAGGACTTTAACTATAAAAACACAATTGATATGATTAGCATCTTAAATCACTGCACAGTTTTTCCTCCATGTGACCTGCCAGTTTCTGCCTAACCTGGAGTAAACTGAAGCTATTTCAGGAAAGCCAGATTTCTTAGCACACAGTAATGCAAGACCATCACTGCACACTGCTCACCACAGCAATTCTGTAGGTAGTTGTATTAGCAGATTTCCTGCTATGATCACTTGTTTACTACTCTAAGAAAACATTAAAAGAATTTCAGTGATCAAAGTAGTAAACTAGAATTATCAGAGAACACTTCAGAGAAATCCTGCCTTTTCCTCATAAAGCATCTTTACCAATAAACAGATGGAGCAAATTGATTTTCTAATCCATAGGATTCCTGTATGGTGGTTAATAGTTGGATCTAGCAAGCAGCTGTTCTTGTCCAAAGGCCATAAAGCAGCAGTACAACCACACCATAATGGAAACTCTCTCCATGGTGTGGCTTCTCTGCAGTTTCAAATGGTACCATCAGTAGGTACCAAAGTCTTAAAGGACTTGGGCAAAAATAGTGACTAAAAGCTGAGAACCCTAAACAACATACTGCACCTCTTCCATTAAAGAGGAAGTTTTAAAAGACAATTGTCTTACAGAAAGAAAGCAAACCCTGACTGATGTGTCTTCACAACTTACCTAGAGCAGTACCACACTCCCCACCATCCCTTGAGCAAGCACTCAAAACTTGGGCCATGCCTTTAGCTAATTGGTTCCTCTAAAGTTTTTTCTTCCATTAAAAAAAAAAACAAAAACCAGAAAGACAACCTCAGAACCCATGAGACTACTCTCTGAACAAGAGTCTTAAGTGCTACATGTTAAGCCTTTTTAAATCTATGGCAAAAGTATGCACTTTTTTGTACAGATTTTATTACAACACACTGGCTAATTCCCAGACACAAATTGTTCGTCCTGTTCAAAATTTAGTCACAAGACCAGGCCTTAAGCCTCAATATTTGACCATGTATTTCAGTTTTCACATATGATACAAACTTCAGAGGCAAGTCATTTTCCTAATTGCTACAAATAAAACGTTACATTTCTGTTCCAGCAATTCTAAGTGCATTTTCTGAGCTCTTCACTTGGGAACAGAGGTAAAAATCTTCATACATTTACAAAGCTGCCAGTCCCTTTTTCAGGATACAAGGAACACTTAGAATTTTGCTTCCTGAGAACTGTTGATGATAACTGATGTCTATATTATTTAATTGTGAGCCTGGGTTGTATAATCAGGACACTGAGATTATGACATGTGACAAATCTAAAGAACAAAATGTAATCAAAATTAAAACAGAAGTCTTATAGGTCAATAAATGCCTTATCTCTACAGTCATGTGATAGCTGAAGTATGTTCAATTTTCATAAGAGATTGGAAACACAATTTTGCTGGCGTTCTACATCAAAAAACCATCTGAAGTATGTAGGGCGGTTTCCACAGGAATACTAGTTCTGTGTGCTTGTGCAAGTGAGGACAGTTTAAAGAAGCAGTTAGCATCTATATTGAGCTACCTTCTAATAGGAAGACTGCTTGTTTTCGAAAAATCTTCACCAGAGTATCATCCAATTCAATTTCCTGTAGCTTAGAAATGAGCTGCTCCTCATTTCGACAAACCTTCTCTTGTGCATACAAGCCATCTGGCATTATTCGTTGCTGTCCCAGCCCTATCAATGCTACTTCCACAGCGAGCGTTAAATAAGATTCCCCTTCTTCTAAGAACTTATGTGCAGGCAGGTGCTGGTACTCCAGAGATTTGCATTGCCCCATGCTCTCTGTAAGAGGTGACACAAAGAAAAACACATCAGTAAATCATTCTAATGCATAATCTGCCTATAGTGCCATGTATACAAATGCTTCCCCTGTTAGTATTAATTTTTTTAATGATGTAAATTTCTAGCACAATCTGAAAATCCAATGATCCAATCTAAAAATATCCCATCCAATTCCACATGGGAGAAATGCACACCAAAAAATTAGGTTTTAAATAACCCACTCAAGTAAAAACAGAAGTTTTCATTTTTAAACTGCATGATTTAGAGAAAGACAGTTTCTCCAGCTTTGTGTTAACGAGGCCAAAATTGGAAGATCCATTTCAATTTTTTTCCCCACCTATTTCTGTATCTCCTTAAAGCCTTGATGCGTAAGAGTAAGGGAAAGGTGCTTATACACCTACATAGACTTTGGTTGAAGCTATTAGGATTGTGCAAATACAATAGGCGTGGCATCTCCATAACTTTAAAGCATCCTCTGTTTGCTAGCACTCTTTTCAGGCTTTTTTATTTGTTACCGTTGTATTTATGATAAAAATGCATATTATTAACACTAGAAGTCCTACTTTTAGTAAAGATTACATGTAAATTTCACACAGGCCAAGCCATAAATTGCTTTGAAGATTCATTTGGCACTTCACAGACACACCATATGACAAAACACTGTTCCAACCTGTAGCAGTTTACAGTCTAATTTGGGAACAAATAGTTACAATGGACATATGTAAGGAGAAGGACACCTGCAGCAAATGGGAAGGCTGAATGCATTTGGTAGATTGCACATGTGTAAGAGAACGTTACTTTTTGATGCAGACTTTTTATTTCATGGAGTTGTTTTGTTTTTTTTATAATCACAAAGAATCTGATTTCCAATTTCTTTTAATTAAAAGTTCTTCCAAAATTGGTGGATATGGGATTGGAAATTTATTGAAGAAAATCTAATTGAATAAAAGGAGTTTTGAGGCAAAGCCCCAAGAAGACTGTGGATGTACGCATAAAAGAGCTGCAGGTACAGGGATGAATCCAGTTTCTGTCCACACAGGTGGTGATAAGAAGCTACTGCAGAGGTGAAAAGAGACTAAGGACTTAGTTAAGCTCCTGGGAAGCAAATACTGAAATTACAATGGCCGTACACATGCTATCCTAAATCATGTATTGGTAACTGTGACACTGCTTTCCAATTCATATAATTTACAAACCATGTATGTTACCAATTTTAAGTGTTTTGTCATTAATTTGAAGTATTATGTACACTTGTAGCTAAGAAGTCCAATAACATCCTGGTCTGCATTAGGAGGATTGTTGCCAGCAGGTTGAGGGATGTGACCCTTTCCCTCTGCTCAGCACCGGTGAGCCCACACCTGGAGTGCCGTGTCCAGTTGTGGGCTCCCCTGTACATGGACATACGGAAGCAGATCCAGTGTGGGGCCACAAAGATGATTAAAGGACTGCAGCATCTCTCATATAATGAGAGTGAGACAGGTGGGATTATTTAGCCTGGAAAAGAGAAGGCTCAGGAGGATCTTACCAAAATGTATAAATATCTGATGGGAGAATGTAAACAAGACAGTGCCAGACTCTTCTCAGTGGTATCCTGTGACAGGACAAGAGGCAATGGGCACAAACTGAAATACAGGAAATTCCATCTGAGCATAAGAAAACACTTTTTTACTGTGAGGATGGTTGAACACTGCAAGAGATCGCCCAGAAAGGTTGTACAGTGTTCATGGAGTTATTCAAAACCCAACTGGACACAGCCTTGGGCAACCTGCTCTAGGTGACCCTGCTCTGAGGAGAGCAGGAAGGCTAGATGACCTCCAGAGGTACCTTCCAACCTCAGCAATTTTGTGATCCTGTGATTTCCTGCAACTTCTCAGAAAGAGGACAGAGAAACGTATGTGGAAGAGGGCTGCTGCTATAAAGTCTTATTTCGTTTTATTTCAAGTGTGAAATACAGAATTGTCTTCAAGAATGAGTAACTAGTAATTTTTTTAAGTGCTTTCATGTCTTACTTTAAAGATTTTTCTCTACCTTGAGTTTTCTTACAGAATGCAAATGTGAGTTTTTATACTATGAAAACACTAGCTGTGAAGCTGATTCAGAAAGGCAAGATAGAAAAATGCCTCTGGTAAATGAAGACATATAGAAGATTGCTCCCTTTGCTTGGCCTTACCCGTGAAGTCCGAGAATCCATGGAAGCTCTCATCATCCACCCTGCAGGCTTCCATCAGGCTACTGAAGAGCGTGCCAACGGGGTCCAAAGGGTGTCCCACCCAACCTTCAAGGTTCGTTATTGAGGTTACTCCTCTGTGAAGAAGTTCTGTGACAGAAAAGACGGAGGGAGAAGGAAGGGAATTTTAAAGAGAGCACATGTTAGCCCCTCAAAACAATTATAAAAGTAAAACAGACTAAAATGCTCTCAGTACGAAATTCAAAGCACTTCCAGTAGCTTCTGCTTAGGAGGAAATAGTATCTTTCAGGGTGAATTCAGTGCCCTTTGTGAGTATGTTAAGAACGAAGGCCAAGTATTTTGAGCACTAGCAAATGAGTCAAAAATTTCAACTGCAGTGCCTTTTGAAATCTCTTACTTGATACCAGTAACTCTTCTGAAAACATCTGCTGAAAAATTACAGAAAATACTTTTTTTGGTAAAATATTCACAACAGTTTCCTCATTCAAAAAGACGCAGTAGCAATTTTACATTTTAAGTGAATCTGATGGCACTGAAATGAATGAAAATATTCTAAAATATGTTCCAACTTCATAAATAAAATATGAGCTTATCCTGCATCTAAATATTTATTGAAGTAATAAAGTCAGGATGACAGCTCCTTTAAAAAAAGAATTAAATGTTTAAATGAGGCATATAAGAAAAAATTGTCCTTTAACTGGATCAATTGTCCTTTAACTGCATTTTTTGTCGTTCTAAAATTTCAGTCAACAAATACCTTCACGGATACTTTGTTTTGTAGCCCTCACCCTTCATTCGGTTAGAACACGAAAAAATTGTTCAGCACAGTGAATTGAAGGAAGCGTGGTTGTGGTAACAGACGTTAAGAGATTTTTTAAAAAAGCCATTATGGATGCTTTGTTTCTCTGCCTGTTACACACTGACTTGTACCTGCCTCCGTTCTCTCTTGTTCATGAAGTGCCATCTTTCTGAGTAACCATACGTATTATCACAGAGCTTTTAAATCCTGTTTCTTACCTATTTAAATGTGTGGGGCCACAAAATGAAACACAGCCACACTGTTGGAAGGGTGGTTTTTTTTTTTTTTTTAAAAGAATCCATTGATATGTGATATGAAAAACAAACAAGTAAATCATTGTCTTACTAACAAATAGCATGTACTAAAGATGACAGGCAGAAGCAAGTAATATTACCAAAAATGACTATCACAGTGACTTCTTACTGACTCACCTATGTTCTATTTATTCTATTGTGCCTACTTATGAGCTTCACTCATGTCATGCTAAACAAAGGCTTCAGTCCTCCACTCATATAGACATTTAACTTTAAATCACACAAGTGGTTCCACGGACATTGGATCAGTCACATGAATAAAAGCTAAGTAAAAGCAAGTGGTGTTCGCTAAACTAAAGCTTAAAGCTGGGCTGCAACTGCAGAATTCATCTGCTTATAGAGAAGACCAGCATGTTTTGCAGTATTAAAAGAGTGGTTTTTTAAAAATCCCACACAACAGGAAAAAAATAAACAAAACAGTGACAATATAGAAATGACAAACTTCTTTGTTTTAGGGTAGGATGGATTGCATTTCATACACTCCATTTTTTTATTTATAATAGCATGATACTAGTTGACAGGTATGGAAACTGCGCACACCGAAAGGAACTTAAGCAGAACTACTAAATGTTTAGATACTGCAGTAGCAACTGGGAATGAAAAGCAGTATCCCGACCAGCACACTTGCAGTAGACCCTTCACACCTGCCAGGGGTACATACACACATACACACACTGACACAGGCTCTCCCTTCTTAACCCCCAGTCTGAGAAGCTAGAAAAGCTGCAAAGCTTTTAAGGGAACACTTGTTAAGGAAAGATACATTACATGACAAGAATACTTGGCAAATTCTCCTAAGTACGAATACGAAGTTCTTTTAAGTTTTGTTCAAATCTAGGGTCCACAATAGTGCTCAAAAAAACCTTTTTCCTTGGGTACCGTGGAAAAAAAAAAATGGAGGCACATAGGAACTGCCAGTTAATTTTTTTTCAGTCAGGTGTCTACCTTGTCTTCTAAATGCTCATTTCTGGGAAAACATTTGCACACACACTTGAAAAATTTACACATATGACTTCACACTGGTATTTTTGCCTACAATGCATGAGGATACACATAGATAAGAGTAGCAACAAAGATCTAAAATAAAATTTGAATTAAGGGATTTTTGTAGCAGCTGAGAAAGTAATTCCAGTTTTTCCCCAAGCATTCTGTAATCAGAAAGCCATCCCCTTCTTCCGCTGCCTCTTCAAAATAACAACGAAGTGCAGTGTGGGATTATTTTGGGTAGCAAGGACCACACGGCACAGAAACTCTATCTGAAGGAGAATGTTCCTTCAAAAAAATACAGGGGTAGTGCTCAGAGGAACACCACAGAACATTTTATAAAAACCAGTATTTCAAAAACAAACAAAAAAAGCAATCCACCTCTATTCAGAAACACCAAAATTTTAAGCATAAGAGACTCTTTTGGAACAAACTGCCAAATGTGATCGATTTCTGTAGTGCAGACTTTGCCTCATTGTTACCCTCGATGTCACTTCAGGCTTACACCTCAGAAATATATAGCTCAGCTAAATTATATATCAGAGAAAAAAAAAAATATTGTAAATACCTGACATGCCAAATGCAAAGCTCTGTTTAAAAGCCTGTAAATTACAAAGGGTGAGTATTTTCGCTGTGTGACCAAAAACCCTGATTAAAGGCCCCATCATGCCAGACCTATGGCAGAGGGCAGAACAGAGCTCTTGCCCTGCACAGCTCACAACCCAGTTTACAGAAAACCTCTGACATCCAGAATGTGACATTATCACTACAATCATTTGGACCAAAGAATTAAAGTCACCCCTTTTGCTTTAGTTTCAAAACTGGTTTTCTCAAGCAAAGTTCCAGTCTGGTGTTATTGTCACCTCGGCACGTCCTTTGCCTTTCTCTTTCCCGCAATTACCTTTCTTCTGAGCCCGGAACATTTCCAGCTGTTTCTGCTGCTGCCTTCTTAGTGTATTAACAATAGCTATTGCTAGTCTCAGTGCTTCTCGTGGGTATCCATGAGATCGTAATGCATCCACCCTTGCACAGGCTGTAGGAACATGTTCTAAAATGGAGAAAATAATTGAAGAATAGCAATGCTTCCATGTCTGCAATGGCCTGTTTGGCTACGTTACTCAAAAGGGCTTTTTTGTTTGGGTTTTTTTTGTTTTGTTTTTAAAACTATGCAAGAGACACTTAAAGGACTGCTTCTGAGCCAGCATCTCAAGGGAGCCTCTGTTCTTTTTGCAAGGCTTTTCATTCATCTCCGCAC